CTATTTATAAGGCGTTTAATGTTGCCACTGATATTTATAAGATACTAATATTGCCACTGATATTTATAAGATACTAATGTTGCCACTGATATTTACTCTTCTGGTAGTTTACATATAGGAAATTCAGAAAAATACTTCTTTTATTGGAAATTTCAGATTGTTATATCTGGTCTGTTGCTTCATATTTCATATTCTTATTTGAATATAAGGCTTACATTTTACTAAGCTGTACATTTTGTTTTTGTGCTTTTTTTTGTATTAAGTAAGTAAAACAGTTGGGACAAAAAAAATGTCACATATACTCAAACAAATATTCAACAAAATGTTAACTATAAAATATGTCCTGTACTTGAGATATTTTATCAGATAAGACCCACATGACAGTTGGGATAAGAATTATTTTAGGTTTATCCTCTATTGATGAGTTTAAAATAAAACTTAAGACCAAATATGATTGCTTCAACCTATGACATCTCACATGTAGATCAACCTTCTGTTAAGTGAGGGTGAAGAAGTCAAGGTGATGAAATAGGACTAATTTAGATTACTATATGTTGAAGTAAAACAGACTCAAATCCCCATAGATATTATATACAGCTCACCATTATAAGAGTCCTAATGGTGTACCTTTGGTTTGCTGACCAAAGCTATGCTGATGACCCTTGAATAGGTGAAACTGCAGTCCACAGCAGAGGATACAGCCAATCAAAGAATACATTACGCCTGTACATCACAGATTATCCTTTCAATTTCACCTCTGGTGAAAGAGAAAATAAATATTTAACATACATTTTGTAAGTACTGTTGTATGTCTCGATTGATAGCAAATAAACAAAGTAATAGTATTGAAATTGATATATGTGGGAGATGATAAAGTATTGTTGGTAGTGTTGTATGTTTGGAATGATGACAACCATACATAGAAGTGTTGAAACAATGATGTATGTGGGAGATGATAAAATATTGTTGTTAGTGTGGTATGTTTGGACTGATGACAACCAAACATAGAAGTGTTGAAACAATGATTTATGTGGGAGATGATAAAGTATTATTGGTAGTGTTGTATGTTTGGAATGATGACAACCAGACATAGAAGTGTTGAAACAATGATGTATGTGGGAGATGATAAAATATTGTTGTTAGTGTGGTATGTTTGGACTGATGACAACCAAACATAGAAGTGTTGAAACAATGATTTATGTGGGAGATGATAAAGTATTGTTGGTAATGTTGTATGTTTGGAATGATGACAACAAAACATAGAAGTGTTGAAACAATGGCATGTGGAAGATGACAAAGTATTGTTGGTAGTGTTGTATGTTTGGAATGATGACAACCAAACATAGAAGTGTTGAAACAATGACATGTGGGAGATGACAAAATATTGTTGGTAGTGTTGTATGTTTGGAATGATGACAACAAAATATAGAAGTGTTGAAACAATGACATGTGGGAGATGATAAAGTATTATTGGTAGTGTTATATGTTTGGAATGATGACAACAAAATATAGAAGTGTTGAAACAATGATATATAAAGTAATATTATGAGGAAGAATAGGCCATCATTCTCTTGTGCCACGTCAAACCAGAGTTTGAAAGCACCAGTCCTGTGTGCAGAATAAGTTTAAATACACAACATAAAGTTAAGTGTATTGCAAGTACTACAGAACTTTTCTAATTTTTGGGTAATAAATTAGGCATCCGTGTACAATAAGTTTAGCTGAAACAGAACTTGATATACAATAGTATAAGATTTTATAGTTTCTTATACTTTCCAAAACCATTTTTCATTGTTGTACACTCTATCAACTTCAACATGAAAGAAAACCAGAGTAATAAATTTAGTTTTAAATTACAAATTTCTTTTATTTCCTGTGTTATTTTTGTTTCAGTAACTCAGTTGATTTATGGTTAGGAAAATTATTTCAGCCAATATATATATAAATACTCTTCATATTATTAAAACTGTCCTTCCTTTTATTTGGATAAGGTATGATTGAAAAAGGTTTGGATGAAGCAGCATCTGTCAACATGAAAAGACTTTCACCAGATCTGCGTACAACTCAAGAAGGAGATTATTTAGAGGTTCATTACGAAGACAGTGAGGCTCAGTTAGGGCCTGGCTATGACCCAGCCTTCCTGAGCCTTGATAAAGAAGAAGATACAAATAATGAACTGAATGGTAACAAATTGGAGAGTAGGCCACAGAATTTACATCCGTTATATTCACAGAATACTTTTACTTCTTCACAATCAGAAGACTGCGACTTAACTGAACCCTCACTTTCAAATAAAGAAGTCTGGCAGGATGCTGATAACCAAAACTCTCTTCACATTCAGTACCTGAACGCTCATGGTAATGAAGACGAAGTGGAATCTAACTTTAGAGACAAAAATACCAAAGAAATTCTGAGTGAAACAAAATACTTTGATCAATGTCGTAGCACTAGGTCCGGGGAATTAACTAGTAGAAGTGACCATACTGATTCAGTAGGTCAAGAGGCTTCAGTTGTTCATAGAACTGAATCAACTCCGGAGGATGAAACTCTATTAAAAGAAATAGATGAAGATTTGACTTCTCTATCATCAGCAGACCATTTGATAACAGATATTTATGATGAACCAGATCACAATGACCATAAAGACGTTATCTTGGGTGGCACCGAAGAAGTTGTAGTGAAGAGTTCATCTCAGATTGAAAGAAACGGTGTTCTTAAGCTAAGCCACGTGACTGATCGTCTAGAGGTGTCAACGGAGGACAGTTTGTCTGTAAATAGTGAAACTAGTCTACTTGACGAGGCAATGAAGAATAATGATTATAAGTCCGTATCGCTTACGTCATTAATAAGTTTGGAACTGGATTCATGTGGACTTCCATTAGAAATTTTCAAAAAAGTAAGAATACATACAACAAATAAAGTACTAAAAACAATGTATATTAAATAAGTTCATTTCAACATGTTCTAGTTATTATTATAGTGAGCTTATCAGTTAAAGATGTACACATTATTTGTTAGTTATTTGATGTACGTCACATCACAAACTTGAGTAGATTATAAGCAAAGCTTGAGTTATTGAGTGGAGTCTACTAAACTTGAGTAAATTTTAAAATATTCTCATGAATGCATGTAGATGTGAAAGTGAGAAAACAGTTGTTCACTAAAAAAACGACAAACTTTTCTGAAAGATGTATTTAGATAAAATAACATTTATGATTTTACCACTATGTGCAATATATTCTTTCATATTTGAATGCCCTCTAGTGGCATAGCGGTATGTCTGCGGACTTACAACGCTAAAAACCGAGTTTTGATACCCATGGTGGGCTGAGCACAGATAGCCCATTGTGTAACTTTATGCATAAATTCAAACAAACATATTTAGATATTATTATAAACAGCACATTGTAGATGTGGACCAAACTTAAATTACTTTGACCAGGAAAAAAAAAAGAATTTACTGTGCATTTTTTTTGTTTTTATAGTCCATACATTTAGTGCACAATTGTTAAAATAAAAACTTCTGTTACAAAAAAGACAGGAAATTAAAATGTAACTTGTGTACTTTGATAAATTTTGTAAAACGTACAGGACTTGTAAAGCTGTATGTTCTCAATTTATTAATCTTATTAGGGATGCTACACCTCCAATGTTTGTATAAAGTGTACTAACAAAATATTATCTTTTAAATGTGTAAGAAATTAAAATAAACTTAACACACGTAACTTGTGTATATTGATAAATTTGGTATAAAGTCCGTGGAATTATAAATTTGACTTTAACCATTGTTCTCACCAAGATCACTTTCTTAGAGATACTACACACACACCTCGTATGTTTGTATATGTAACTGCAGTTTATTGTACATGTGTTGTAGGGCTCACTGTGCCACCCATATCTTTCCCTGCCGTTTCTGGATCACCTTGCTGATGTAAACATATGCAATTTTGTTATCGGAGCAAATAATGTCTTATTTAAGCAGAAGAAACACCTTTTTGATGTGATTGTCGAGGTACGAAAATACTTTTTTTAAGCTTTATTTTGAACTAAAATATTTTGGATACTAACAGTCATGTTTGAACTAAATATGATAATGTCATTATGGAAGTCGTTGGACGGGTTTGATTATCAAATTCATGTTTATTTCCTCATTCATGATACATTTTGTTAATGTATGTGCAAAAACTTGATAGATGTGAGTATAAACAATACAAGTATGTATTAAGAGAAGAAATATATGCTAAATAACTACTTGTTTGTGGAAAAATGAAAATGTTTGTATGTAGTTTTTCTTTACATTCATGTTTTTTAATGTGAAGAAATAGTACCTATATTAATAACTATTTTAACATATTTCTGTAAAGATCCATCATCCAGAGTTAGCAGGCTATATTACTGTAATTGGGTTTGAAACTGTCTGATGGTGTACATGTTTTAGGATTTATTGTATGACAAGGTAGAAAGGATAAAAAAGGCCCTCAAATGTGACATGTTTCTATTTTTTCTTTATAGACTTGGTTTTCATCATGTACAGTTTGGCTGGCTTGATTACCATGATTTTTTGTATGGTAACTGGAAACTGTCTGATGGTGTACACGGGCTATTTTGTTTTAGGCTTTTTACTTCAGAAGGGAAATAAAATCATTTAAATAGGACAAATTTTCACTTTTTTTTTTGTAGATTTTTGGCTTTGAATTTAAAAACACAAGTGCTTAACTAGTTAAATGAGCCAACTATTACCTTCCACAAAGTAAGATGTGCATTTAGCATCTAATGAGATCATTAGAGATTTAATAACAAAAGAGAAAAGGGAGGGAAATATTACCTAATTTTTGCTTTCTTAAGGAGCACCCAAAGCTAGTTTAAAATAATGTCTATAACTGGAACAACTAATACTATTGTAGAACCTTTTAAACAGGTTTAATATGTCAACAGGTAATGATTTAGTGTGAAACATTAATTCTCTCTGCTAGAACAATTTCCATTTGACAAGACAAAATTATCTGGTCACTAGTAAAATCCACCAAAAAACATTTGATACTTATTCTACAAGTAAAATTGACTGACAAATTAACAAGGAAGGTTATAAATTCTTTAACATTGTATAATACCCTCTTTATGTTTTCTTTGTTAATTACCGCTGACTACCTACAGAGGATCGTACTCTAATGTCAAATAAAAACTTCTCCAGGCATTTTAAGTTTCTAAAGTAATTATGAAAAAGAGCTATGCTAATTTTATAATAGTCTGCTCAGGGATTTGTTTTTATATATATTTCACAAATATAAATATGCGTGATTTTATTCCTGAATGTAGTGAATTTTCATAGCTTCAAGATGCCTCTGTCTTTTTTTTTTTGCCAACAAAACGTATGGAAATGATTTGATTGCTTAAAGAGCAAAAATGTTCAACATCACGTATCTTTTATTACGTTCAACTATAGTAGTTATTAAATCACATACCTGGTACCTATAATTCTTAAACTACGTCACCTCCGTTAGTTTTAGGTTCGTCTAGCACCGAGGGTAGAAGTGGAAAGGAACATGTTTTGTGATTGTTATGACAAATATTTTTATTTAAAGTGTTTGTTTTAATGTAATTATTTTTGAAATATACTTTTTTTTTCTGTAAGTTTTAGCTTTTTTATGTTAAAGTTAACAGTCTATTGAACTAGAAATATTAATACTTAGAAAACAGAACTAAAAATTCATTACTGCTGTCTCAGATAGAAGAATCCAAAGTAGAAGTGTTCGATGCCGACCTCAGGAAACAACTCCACTTAACAACGGAGGATCTGAGATTTGCTGATTACCTTGTTAAACATGTCAGTGAAGAAAAAAACGATGTATTTTTAGATGGAACAGGTAGGCTAAAAGAAATTGATATAAATTTCAGGCTTTGCTGTTGAAATACAAACTTTCAATAAGTGCATACATATGGTATCAGAGTTACGGGTGCTTAACCACAAATGGTAATAAGATATCTTCCTCTAGCCAAAACTCAAACGTCATTAAAGGATGTTGTTTTTTCATAGCAACATGTGTTAATAAAAGCATCTTATGGTTCTTCTAATTTTGTATGAACTCTGCATTTAAAGAGATGCAATGGATATGACAGATAGCGTGGTTGGAATACTGTTATTATACACTCTTCTAATTCTTGACAATCTGTAATGGACTAGATTAAGAATGTAGTGTTTAAAAATGTAATAAGCCTAATACTAGTGCTTTATGACAAGTATAATTAATGTTTCAACTAGAAAAAAATAAGTTTAAGTGGCTTTTATAGAAGAGAGAATATTTAATTTTGTGTATGTGTAGATGTTTTCCCTAAGAAGTGATAGTTATGTGTTCTTCAAGTGATATTACTGGTAGTTGAAATCTCATTTTTCAATACCTTAAACGTATAAACAGTTGCAAGGTATTCTTGAAATACATGTAGAAAATATTGTAATGTTGCTACATGTAGAAATCATTGATTTATATGCTTGTTTTAGTGTGTATGGTTACTTAAGAAGCAGAGGGTCTTATCTGGTTTATGTACAGTTGATACTGTTTTAACAGCTTATTTGGTTTATGTATAGTTGATACTGTTTTAACAGCTTATCTGGTTTATGTACAGTTGATACTGTTTTAACAGCTTATCTGGTTTATGTACAGTTGATACTGTTTTAACAGCTTATCTGGTTTATATACAGTTGATACTGTTTTAACAGCTTATTTGGTTTATGTACAGTTGATACTGTTTTAACAGCTTATTTGGCTTATGATCAGTTAATACTGTTTTAACAGCTTATTTGGTTTATGTACAGTTGATACTGTTTTAACAGCTTATTTGGCTTATGATCAGTTGATACTGTTTTAACAGCTTATTTGGTTTCTGTTCAGTTGATACTGTTTTAACAGCTTATTTGGTTTCTGTTCAGTTGATACTGTTTTAACAGCTTATTTGGCTTATGTACAGTTAATACTGTTTTAACAGCTTATTTGGCTTATGATCAGTTGATACTGTTCTAACAGCTTATGTACAGTTGATACTGTTTTAACAGCTTATTTGGCTTATGATCAGTTAATACTGTTTTAACAGCTTATTTGGCTTATGGTCAGTTGATACTGTTTTAACAGCTTATTTGGTTTATGTACAGTTGATACTGTTTTAACAGCTTATTTGGCTTATGATCAGTTGATACTGTTTTAACAGCTTATTTGGTTTACGTTCAGTTGATACTGTTTTAACAGCTTATTTGGCTTATGATCAGTTGATACTGTTTTAACAGCTTATTTGGCTTATGATCAGTTGATACTGTTTTAACAGCTTATTTGGGGTAAATGTACCTCATTTTGTTGTGTTTGTCTTGTATTTTGGTTAACCTAGATAGAAAAGTATTACTGTGATTAAAAAACGATCAGTTAAAAAGGACCCTACAAATAAATAAAAATACAGACGAGACTCTTGGTATTACATCAGTTAGTATAAAGTGGAAGGCATTGTTTTGTACGTAGTTCGGTTATTTGATTTCACGAGAGCTATGCACAAACGTATTTCTAACTCAATGCATTGCTTATCAAATGAATAAAAGTGACTGTATACATGAAACTTGATATTTTCAGGATGGGAAGGTGGTGATGAATGGGTCAGAGCCCAGTTTAAACTATATCTGCTCAGTCTTCTGAGGACAGCTCAGCTAGAAGGTAATTTTGTTTTCATAAGCTTAAATTACGTTTTTCAATGATAAGATGTGTTTAGTCTAAAATGTTTAGTTTAGTTTATAGTAAAGAAGATGGAAAACCTCCTATTTTATTAACTTGTTTAGAATCTGACAACTAAATATATTGCACTAAACAACTCTCCATGTTTTAGCCTTCTCGCTATGGGCTCAGTGGTTTACACTGACCTTGTGACCATCAGAGTTTCTGTACTACAACTTTTAATAGGTCAATATTTTTAGTGTATTTTCACGAAATTAACCCGTTCACCGTGTAATTAATTTTCAGGTTGATTTCCAAAAAGTGTTAATAATCCACCAAAAAATAAAAGTATGAATTTGACCCTTTGTATTACTTTTTAAACATTGAAAGATGCTGTATTTTCTATATCTGACGGTAATATTTCTTGAAAAACTGTATTGGATAGTGAAAAATAATGATTTAAACAAAAAAATTGAGGAAAATTATAAGACAAGTGTTCTCCAGTAAATGACATAAATATAGTTAAAACTAAGTCAATAAGGGGGTAAAATCATTACAAAATATAAAACAAGTTATTTAGATAACAATATCCAAGATATAAATAAACTGTCTTTATATAGATTCTACACGTGTTCTTGAAAAGTTGGCAATGAGGCATATATAAACATCCAGGTTTCATGGCGTAGAACACAGATAGCAGCACGCAGGTTTGGCGATTGTTTCAAGTACAGGGGGATATTCCTGCATGTCACAGTAGAGGAAAACATGGGGTAAATTAGTCGGGGGTTATAAATGTTTATTTGGATATATCCAAACTACACTGACTACTAAATGAAGTATAGCAAACAATTATCGCTTCAAGTTATGAACTTTGTACTCGTAACCATTTTGTGCTTGTTATAGTTTTCATGCTATAACTTTTAAATTAGTAAGTGCATCTTCACGAAATTCTGAAGATCATCAGGAAACATTTCAAGGCTTTCGTATGCAAAATACTAATTTTTTTTTTTTCAGTTTTAAGATTTTTTAAGTAATGTTTTTTTCATGCCTTCTTTCTTTTTGAATGTTGACTATCCAACATGCAAAG